GCATCGCATGTTATGGAAATGTGAAAAATTACGTGAACTGAATATTCTACAAAAAAAAATATGAAAAAATGACCATTACACCATGTGGCACACGTGCGTCTATACGAGTTAAAATTTTGAATTCAGTGGTTTCTCTTTATGAGCTTTTATTTTAGATACAACAATTTAGTATATGACAAGAAATTATAGATTGTTGTAGTTAGAATGCTGTGAAATTCTTGGTGCCTTCGATCTTATTCAAAAATGTTTCCATACCAAACCTCAATCTGTTAAATTTCTGGAAATGGCATTCGATGCATTTTGATGTGACCTTGTACATAAGACTTTGTAAACTATCCTATCACTCTGATTCCGCCAACTTGCCTTATGCTCGAGGTCACATTGTCTGGAAATGGCATATGACACCGGGCCAAAAATATCAGATAACAAGGTACTGCCATCAGCATGGAAAGAAAACTCGTGATTGATAGTATCTATGGTAGAAAGATCTCTTATGGAATTCTTTTCATTGTTTAGAGAATAAAACTTCACTGAAAACTATTAGAAAAAAAAGATTCTTCAAATTTAGTTCAATAGTCATATTTGCAACATGGGTATCTCCTGAAAGCTTCATTCGTTTGAGCTGAAACTTTTCGTTTATTTCTAAGTTAGATGTATATATCTACTGTAGAAATTTCATGCAAATCAGTAAGACAGACTAAGCAGGAGTGGTCGGGGCTTAGGTGCGATACCTTGAACTGGGTTGTATAAAGCAGGAAGATATTATTTCCGAAGATGCACGCTGTCTGAACTATCGCGCTTATCCTGAACCAGCGACTGATTAAAAAATAGGATCATGCGTATGAAAACCGGTCATCAGCAACGATTGTGATGTGTCCTTAAGGCATGTGACAGAATGACAGACGGTTTTAATCCCATCACAAATAAAGATAAAGCGATTAGAGCAGAATGTGCTTTATTGTTTGTGATGCTGAGACAAATAACAATCTGCTAAAGAGTTGCATTGATTTTAATATTGTGGGTATGTCTAGTTTGTTCGGCATGATTTGTGTACTACAGACTTCTAATTGTTCATCTACCATTGATTACATTGCGGATGGCTGACGTACGTGTCCTACCTGATGACAGGTTTGGCACAGATCAACAAAGAAAATCAAGGAAGAACAAGTGAGATGAATGTAGAGGCACATAGTGCTTGTATTAAGAGTCGCTAAGGAAAGACTGTCTCATACGGCATTTCACGAACATGAAGCGTATTGTGAGGCATCTTGACATATCCCAGTTTGGGCTTGGTATATTCAATCAATAGTAGATGAACAATAAGAGTGTAGTACACAAATCATACCGAACAAGCTAGAAACATCCATAATATTAATATCATTGCACCCTTTAGTAGATTGTTACTTGTTTGAGCATCACAAACAATAAAGCACATTCTGCTCTAATCGCTTTGTTTTCTTCCAACTTTACTGCGTCTCTATACGTGATGCGATTACAACCATCTGTCATTCTGTCACATGCCTTAAGAAAGCATCACACTCGTTGTTTATTGCATATTTTCATACGTATGATCGCACTTTGGGGTGTGGGTGTGAATGTGAGGTGTGGGTGTAAGTGTGAGTGGGTGAGGGTGAATCGAATACTCAAACGCGCATCCACAGACCTCACCCACGCCCGTCCACACTGACACCCATGCCATTAGTCTTTTTAGAAACAGTGTCCGATGGGTTGAGATGCGATGCAATGGGATGCTGTAATTGCATCCTATTCGGAATCCTGATTTCGATGGTTTTATTGTGTTTTTAGAAGAGAATTCTTTAGTTTTCCAAAGTATTTTAGTTTCGAAAAAATTGCCTATCCATTAACATTAATTCAAAGTAAACATTCGCTTGCAATTGAAACACAATGAACAGTACTACTGGTTTAAGGCATCCAATATGTGCTTTTGAAAATTCCATTTATATTATGAATATTCCATTTTAATGTTGTTTTTCTGGATTTGAATGAGAAAATCCATGCCTAAATTTGTCAACCATTTTTCTCAGAATGTGGTTTTCGATAAGAATTATTGCAACTTCTCCCAATTGGTTCAAAATATAACGGATGTATTTTTTCGTCCGTTTTAAAGTGCATATCGGAGACTGATGGGACACGGGACCAATCCTATCCCGTTCCAGGACGGAACAGGATACGGGACAAAAGGTCACGGGATGCGGGATAGGCGGAACTCAATGCTTCTCCCTCCTACTTTCATTAATGTAACAAACAACAAAAATAACCATCCATGGTGTGCATTACAATAGCGATTGATTTTGTGTCACACAAGTAGAACAATGGTTATCAAAGAGGTCAGCTCTTGTGTGAACGGCACTAGCACATTTCGTCGCACGACACTTCGTCGCGATCACTTCGTCGCGATCACTTCGTCGCAATCACTTCGTCGCAATCCCTTCGTCGCAGAACAATTTTTTTTTTGTTCTGTTCATCGCAGAACCATTTCTTTCCTTCTGTTCGTTGCACAACAATTTCTTTCGTTCTGTTCCTCTCAATTGATTCTTTTTTAAATATTAAGAAATAAAATAAAATAAATAAAAAATTCTAAAGGATGTGTACAATAACAATAGACAATTGATTGTTCTAATGCATATGACTTTATTTGGGAAAACGGATCAATAAAAAATTTTAATACAATGTCATTCTGATGGAGCTCCAGCGAACGAAGAATAACTTAAAAAATATTGCGACTAACACAACTCTTTAATTTTTTTTTAATTTTTCTCTTCTTTTTTTGGTTTTTCTAATTTGGTTTTTTTCTTTTTTTTGTACTCAATTTGTTCATCATTATCTTATGTATCATGCACAAAATAAAGATGAATTAAATTGATCAATTTCATGTCTTGAAAAACAATTAATTGAGAGGAACGCAACGAACAGAACGAAAGAAATTGTTCTGCGACGAAGTGTCGTGCGACGAAGTGGTTGGTCACCAAAACAGCGCATTGATCGTGAACCAAAAAATGATCATGCTCGCTGCATCGAACATTCATGGCTCAGAGTTTGCTTTTTTTGAAAACAAAAGGTACACGATTTGAATAAGTTTTACTCTGTACATTGTAGAGCTTTACACACTGCATCGTGTGGTATATTCTATTGTTTTTATTAAAATGTATTCAGAGATTATAATAAGAAATTTCCAAGCACGAGCATTTATTATGGGTCATCCGTTAGTTTGTACTTTGCTGATAGGCGTTTCACCGCTATGTCTTGTCGGAGTACGGGTGTAGGTATTAATTAATAAAGACTAACACCCATACTCACACTAACAGGTCACAAATTCTTATCAAGGTTTACGAACAAAAAAGAATTTTTGTAATGAGAATAAAGAAATATTGAGGGGTTGTTATTTTAAACTTTTTTTTTATAGATAATGCATAATTGCACTCTTCCCACAAAACGAAACAACGAGATCTAAAGCGTCTAAGGTATGCATTCGGATAATTTAAAAATTCTTTGAGAAGAAAATGTTCGTTATATACACTCGTTTATTGTTTTGATTCCTCTTCATCGCTCGAGTTATCTGAGTTTCCATTTTTTCCAACATCAGATCATTCTATACATTACTTAAACCTAACGTAAGTTCTAACATTAAAGAGATCTGTTTGACAACACGAGGGTAAAGGTATGTGGTGTGATGTCTTTCTGTCAGTCTGGATTTGAGATCGAATGTACAGTGTATTAAGAGAACCGACAATAGAGATTGTTATTTATGAAAATTTGCAAATGTTGAAATAATGTGTACTCAGATAGATCGAATAGGCTATGAGTAGCATTATCTTAAGTATAAGTTCCAAGCTCGATAGTTATAGACTATCTATCTTATGAGCAATCCACTTTTTCTCGTACTCAATTTTGCTTCTTTGAGTTATTGTACAACTTATTTCAGTAACCATCATTCTTGTTATTTTCGACTATATTTATTATGATCAAACTGTTAGGCTNATTAATTCATATTACTACTTGTCAAATACTAAAAATTCTAGCTGGTTTATTATGGATATAATTAGAATATATTGTACGAGATATTGATGAATTCTATTAGAAAATATCGAATGAGCAAAATATTACTGAAGCAATTATTTGACATGCCACATGTTGCAACACTAGATTTAGATAAGTTGTGTTGGAATTCAGTTGCCATATTTTTCAAAGTAGACTATTTTTTTAATGTTAACTAGACAACTAGGATACATTCTGTAAACATGAAAATTCATGAGACGTTATCTTAAAAAAATATCGATAATTCCATTTTATCATTTTTGCTTTCCTATGAAACATCAATGGGATATGAAGGATAAAAGTGATTCAGTTGGTTTTAAAATTATAATCTATATTGTTTCGAGAATCTTTGGGAGTCTCTGATTCAAGCATTCACCAGTTTCGAAATTTTCTTCTCAGTCTGTGTTTTAGAGTCTGATTCTACAGAAAATGAAGGCTTATTAACGGAAAAGCGAGTAAACTAGACTTTGAAACATTATAAATGCACACATGTACACCTCACGAACATACCCTCAAGATGATGCTCTTCGTTTCTGTGATGTACTCTCAAAAACTTATGACGTCTATCCACAGATAGGGTGTGTGGGTGGGGGTGTGGATGTGGGGTGTGGGTGTGGGTATGGGGTGTCAGTGTGGATGTGGGTGTGGATGCGAATATTCTCCTCACCCACATCAACATCGACATCCACACCCACACCCACACTCACACCCACACCCACACCCACACCCACACCCACCCACATCCACATCCTCCTACACCCATACCCACATCCACCCACACCCACATCCTCCCACACCCATATCCACACCCACCCACAGCTGCATCCTTCCACACCCATACCCACACCCACCCACACCCAGACCCCACCTACACCCACACCCGCAAATGACAGACAAAAGAAAAAACACGAGTGTTGTTTTCAATCAATAATCCATCATCTATTCTAGAGTGTGTATAAGTTAAGAACGATTCCTAACGCAGTGGGCTTAAAGCGTTGCTGGCATTGCGGACACTCTGCTTCTATTAGATGTCCGGTAAACATGATGGCTGGAGAGGATCGATGACATTTTGGACATTTGTAGGGTAGATTTTGAATACTTTTTGGTAAGTTGCGTAGAATATCTTGTCCTTTCTCATTGCTCTTGGTAGTGAATGCCACAATTTCGCTTTGTTTCAAATCATTCAACGTCCAATAAACATCATAATATTGTAGGTTCAATACCGCTTGGTTTCGAACTCGAAAGAAGCCTCCATCGGCAAAATCAGTACCCCATGAATTCATAAATGTCAAACTAGTTGGATCACATTTCATCAAAACAATGGCATGCCCATCTATCTTCATTCCCACATTGGACGCACCTATATCTTTACTTTCGAGAACACCTTGTGGTTGGTTTTTGTAAAACATGCTGAAATTATCCCATTGCTTCTCATCCAATCTGAATGTGGCGACCACTGGACGTCGTTGATTGACTGCTTGTCTAGCACCAAGTTCATCGACTTCCTTGTAGTGTAAACGATATTTGGGCGCCCAGATATTCAGTACATTTTTAGTCACTGCTCCTTCTTTGCCGTATTCATTGATCAGCTTTTGACATATGTCAGAGAAGTCAGGTACTCCATTTTCTCGGCCTTCGATTCGCCGCATTGCCAAATGAAAGACAGCTGCCACAGCATAGGCATAGCATGTACCACCCCGTTGTAGTTTTGGTTCGAAGCCTGAATTGGCAACGTTAATATACATATCTAATGAGACACGACCAATTATATTTAACAGAATGTCGTTTCTTTCTGTTATTTGTTGAACGAGATTTGAATATTCATTGATAACATCAGGATGATTGGCTTGTATGAAAAGACGACTATGGCCAGATGCAGGAAGTTCCCATTTTTGTTCCAAGAGAATCGACATTGCCGAATGAGTATTTTCCACCGTAGAACTAAGCTGAAACATTTGCTGTTGTGCCTCCGTCCAGCGCCCATCAGGTTCATAGTATAAGCGTCTTGGGTGAGAAATATTCTCAGATGTCAATAAACAAGAGAAAACAATCACATTGTTATCATGCAATTGTTTAGCGAATCGCACAGGATCACCATCCGTAGATTTTCCATCCGAAATTAAAAACAGAACTTTCAATTGATCAGTACTGGAACTAAATATCTTAAGCGCATAGGTTAACGCTTCACACATAGGTGTACTTCCATAAATGAATGGTTCGATCGAATCGACTAGATTTGAAAGCTGCTCGGGGGCGAAGAGGTGCGATGTTGATGATGATGTCCCTCCAGCAATTCGCTTTAATAAATTCACAGTGGATTGGAACGATTTAATTTGAGGTTTCGCCATAGATTGCAATGTTTTGAGAGAACGCTTGCTAATGATAGATTTTGCATATTCGATGACTTCATTAGCTTCGTGTCTAGCGGCCCTCTCTCCCATATCAGGTATAGGTGTAAAAAATGATATCCAGCTGCTGGTCTTGAGAGCAATGTCAGTGACCATGGATGGCTTCTTGCAGGTATCGGGTAGTCTATCGATAATTTTAGGCAACTCATCGATATTTTGCGAAAAAAATTTGAAAAAAAATTGTGCTTCTCTTTTTTTCGAGTATTCTCGAACATATTTATCAGCATAGGGTGCTCCGTGCTGTGCCAGTAATCTAATCAGATTTTCATGGCCATAGTCATCAGATTGTGTATTATCTAATTTCTGAACATAACTCAACAAAGCGAGTAAGTCGCATGTGGCCACATCCTTCAATCCAAATGCTTCTACGAATATATTTTGATCGTCTTGAAATTTGCCTTCACGATTGGCTATATTCATGATGGTATTGAAAATTGATTGAGCCCGAGTCATATTTTGATCTGTCGGTTTCACATCCAGCTGAAGAATACTTTTCATAGAGCCCGATGCATCAACGAGTATCCCGACAAGCATCTTAATCTGAAATATCAAAATATCAGTAGAGCATATCCACCTGAAACACCACTTTTTATACGAAGTTCGGCACCAGCGGCGGGACCCAGTGTATCTTGTAGAGAATTTTTTTCTGATTAAAACGTACAGACTGAAAAATCGAGGAGTGATGCGTGACTTGAGATAAAGACAAAATACTTTTACGTTGATAGTGGTGCCATCTATCATACTTTCCTGATAAAATGACTTTTTTGATGCTGTCTTAAATGAACTATTCCTGCTTATGTTCTATCTATATCGGTATCAACTTGAAGCTTATAGTTGACCGCTTCATTCGTGATAAGATCAGTTTTACTATACGTGCCTGTGTTGAGGAAATCAATTTCGAACGAAGGCTATTTTTCTCCTATTTAGTTGATTTTTTAGTAATCATGAACAGTAATATTTCTGAAATAACACGTATAGAAAGAGTTTTTTCGGAGTGAATAGATAGTTTGAAAAGAGAAAAAGTATTCAGATCTTCTATGTAATATTGCAAAATGACATATTAAAGTTCATGTAATAGCTTCACTATGTTTATTAACATAACAATCGCATTAACCAAAATAAACAACTATAATATCACCTTTTACAATAACACAACAGCCACCAGAAAATTTTACAACACC